GTTTAGGGTTTAGGGCCCCTAAGCCCGAGAACTCTAAACCCTTGCAGGCCCAAACCGGCCCAATCCCAAAATCAACAGACATACTGTTGATGGACTTAAAATTCTGCATGACCCAAATATAGTATAGGTACCGTAAATCCCATAGTTTAGGTACATAAGGTCATGCAGAATTTTGTCCATCAACAGTACCCCTAAACCCTAAACCGTGTGACTTCAGCATTTTCCGGCTCTGAGCTGAGCCACCGAGTCTGCTGTAGCTGTAGGGTACACGAAAGGACGAGCACAATGTCGAAACGCCGTTACTTGTCTCAAAGTTCAAGGTTTAGGGTCCAGGCCATAAGCTTCAGGGTTTGGGGAAGATTGCTGCTTGTAGTGGGGTGAGAAGTGCCAGTCTGCCTCGCTTTTGCTTGTGTTCTCAAGAACTGCCAATGTGAATGGGATTCCGTTAAGCGTATGTTCAGGGTTCTATCAGGGTACCATAAAAGGGGAAAGGGGGGGCACTGCAAATCTTCATCCGAATCCGTTTGCCCCCAAACTCCCAAGCGAAAGCCCCAAACCCTGAACCCCTCAACCTTGAATCTACATTTTGGCACAAGCACTCGATATCATGGAGATCTGAGATCCTTCTTGCTGCCATCTGGGGCGCCTCATTCTAAAAGTGACGGACTTCTTCGGGTCCAAAAAGACTTGAATGTGGAAAATCACCGATTTTGATGGAACAGGGCAGGGGTCTTTCTGCGTGTATAGAAATCTGCATACCGGAGAAGACCCAAAGCCTCAAACACCCAAAGCCCTCTAAACCCCAAGCCATGAAACCCTCCCCTAAAGCTAAACCCTACACCCCAAGCCCTAAACTCTAAACCCTAACTCCTAAGCCCTAAACCTAACCCCAACCCCTACCTAGACCCCCCAACTACCCTCCATTATACCCCAAATACCTCCTATTAGGGACCATAAGGGCTCCATTAAAGGGCCATTGGGGGGTCCTGGTACACCTTGCATCAGGTTTTAAGTTCGGGCCTTGAGGGGTCTGGGAGTCTAAGGTTGCTCTTCGGAGCGGGCCCCTCAACCCGAAACCCTCAACCCTACACCCTGTAACTTTGGGGTTTAGAGCTTAGAGTTTAGGGTTTAGGGTTTAGGGTTGAGGGTTACACCCTGTAACCCTAAACCCCTAAACCCCTAAACCCTAAAACGCTGAATCCCAGGCTGCCTTCCCTTCCAGATCGGCGAGATCAATTGCGGCCTAAATTTGCTATGTCAGATCTCTGGGACGATGGTGGGCCTGATTGGGGCCATGACGCCGCTTCGCTCGATGATTTAACCCTAAACCCTAAACCCTGAACCCTAAACCCTAAAACCTAAACCCTAAACCCTTGAAACGTTTCGGGTTTAGAGTTGAGGGCTTAGGTATTAGGGTTGAGGTATCCTTGAAGAGAGGGTTTGCTCCTTCGTAAAGTCTAAAGTCTAAAGCTTTGGATGGACAGCAATATGAGCCCGGGCTAAAGTCCTTAAGACCTAGATCCTAGTCTGATCGAAGGGCTTCGAGAATAGGGTATAGGGTTTCGAGTTTACGGTTTAGGGGCTACAAGCCCTAGACCTTAAATTCTACACCATACGGCGCAGTCCTCGGAGATTTGTGTCGCGGTCATACCACTGCTGCGCCAGACTTACACAGCAGTAGCCGGATCATGCTCTTTTTTGTAAGTGATTCCTTTATAGGCTTTGTTGGGTTGCATTAGGCAGGATTTTACTATGGTTTTCATACCGTGTTTCATATGTTTGCACGAGGGTTCCATCATGTTTCTACAAGGGTCACGGCCGGGGTTCTATTACAGGTTGGCGCAAGGGTTTTGGTACGGGTTCAGGACCTGCTTAGCCACACAGGTTGTCATCTATCTTCCCTCATTGGGTTTGAAGGGGGTGCTTTCATCCTTGAGGCATATTTGTAAGAGGCTTGATTGTTTCAGGTTTCCGGTTTTGAGGTAATGAGGTCTTGGCTTCTTGCATCTGTTTCGCGTTGTTGAGCTTAGTGCTTAAAGCCCGGCACCTTGCAGTGTGCATGCCCCGAAATTCCAGCTGCTTCGATGCCACGGAGGTTTTGGTCTTGCGAACAGTTGGCAAGCTGTGAACGTTTGAGGGTATTTTAGGTCTAGGTTCAGGGTTTAGGGATCATCAATGCATGGCTTTCTCTTCTTTTCAGCCTCAAATAACCCTAAACCCTTTACCCCCCAAAGCCTAAACTCCAAACCTTCGTCCTCCAAAAAACCCAAAACCCTGAACCCGAAATCCGAAACCAAGAATCCCAAACCCTGAACACAGTCTCCGAAATCCAAAACCCCAAACTTCTGATGTTTTCGCGATGGCCCCAACCCTGAACCCCAAAGCCCTAAAACCCTGAAGCCCTAAACCCTAAACCCTAAACCCTTGCCGCAAAGGAAGGTGATGTTCTCGCCCTTCGAGAAATCTGCCAGCGACACCCACGAACTCAACGAGTTTATCATCGAGGTGATCTACGGCAAAGTAGCTGGGCAGTTTGGGTTTAGGGGCATGTGGGTCTGTAGGGTTTGGAGGTTTAGAGATTTCAAGATAAGGCTTCGGGTTTGGGTGGTAGGGTTCAGGCTATACACTTTGCATTCTTTTTCTAAATCTCCATGGGCCCGAAAGAGCAGCCAAGGTAATTCCTGGCATGTGCATCACGATGATTTTCGGGAATTTCTATTACGCATGGATGGCGGTCCGGCTTATGCGGAAACTTGGTCCTGGCTCATCAAAGAATTTAACTTACCACTATAGTCTGGGACATGGTCAGGTGGGTGGTTACCGTTATAGGAGCCTTATAGAAGGTCTACATACCTTATAGAAGCCTTATAGAAGCGCTATATAACCTAAACTCCCCACCTGTAAATAGGGAGCTGTCGTGAATTATACGCTCTTTTTTCGGATTCGGTTCCCCAGCGAGAATCCAGGAAGGAAGGGCGCACCGACGTGTGCACATTACCATATGGCATCAACACGCCGGCCGCGTTTGCATTTGTCTTCAGCATCGTGGCGAAAGCGGCAGAGGCAGCAGCCCGCAACTGGGCTTCATTGAATGAAGTGTGAAACCCTCAACCCTAAACCCTAAACCCTAAACCCTAAACCCTAAACCCTAAACACTACGGATTTCGACACCTGCTTGCTTCCCCGGTGACACAGGCGATGGCATGGACTGGCGCGATGGGGTTATGCAGGCATGGCGAGTTGGCTGTGTCGCCAACCTCGTCAGTGGTGTCGCTTGGTAGGGCATTATTGCTGACCTTTTTCCTTAAGACACATTTGTTGCTGGCTGCAGCGTTGTTCATCCCGGTGTTTTAAAGCTGATGTGGAGCATGCAAAATGTGTATGTACGTGTACGCGAACAGAAATCTTGCGCATGTATGCATATATGGATGTGTAGACCGATAGCTATGCTATATATATATATATATTAGTTGTACTCATTAGATAATTATTACCTATATATACAGAAAGCGTCACACTACAGGCCCGATATATATATATATAAATGTCTATCTGTATGTTCCCTGATCCATCTTTTTTCTCGGCCAAAAGCGGGAGTGCTGTTATAGTTCAGGCGTCACGGCCTAGGCAATAAGACTTACACAGGGCTTGGCCTTGTGTGCACGCTATCCGCTATCACTGCTTTGTCGCTTGTCATTCCGACTTATGTTTGCGTGCTTCATTCTGCTCATTCTTACTTTCGTCCCCCTCCTGCGCTCATTTGTCGGGGGATCTCATTCTTGCCTTGAAACGTTTATGGTCACTCGTCTGCACTTTTGCTTGCCTCAGCAGAAACAAGCAACGATCATGTTCGGTTCCCAATGGTAGAAATTGGCAGAAACCAACATTAAGCAAGTAATAGATACTCCCATCTCCAGGTACATGTGTTTATACATGCATGCAGGAATGTTCTTCGTGTGTGTGCCTACATCATGCAAGACTTGGCTACAGCGTTACCTTCAGGTTTCGTCTGGTAGGCAAGTAAGAAGTGTTGTGAGTGCACCCGCTATGTTTGTATGTATGTGTTTATGCATGCACAAGTTGATATGCATGTAGGGCGACTTTGTACCTGCTAGGGAAATTGCATGCTTGTATTTGCTTACCTTCTCACTTTTCGCATGTACGATTGATTGGATGTATGTGCCCTTTTCAGAAACACACACACACACATTTGTGCGAGTTCGTTCATGTGAATGTTTGCACTGCATTGTAGACGGGCTGGTAGAGATAGGCTGCATAGGTTCGTAAATGCATGGTATTGGTTCTCTTTTCATGTTTCTATGTGCATACCAAGGTTTACGAACACTCCCTACATATCTATATATGTATATATACACATACGTTTAATACACACATAGACAATGCGTGACTTGGGATTTTCAGGCTCGGATTCGGGAAGGAGTATGGGTTCCTGTCACTCTTCTCCTGCTTGCGCATGTCTTGGCGGCTGCGAGGTGAAACATGGATGGTGGCTGTGATGGCGATGGGGGCGATGGTTGTGCTGATGGAGATGAAGGTTATACTAGACGATGCTGTTATGATAATTCTGATGATTAATCTGGTGAAACATTTTTCATAACTACCATGTTGCTGGAGATAACGCTTACGGTCGTCAAGGTGCTTGGTACGTTGAGCACGAGAAACGGCTTTGTACTCTTCTTGCTCTGGGGTTTTGGAGACCCATCGCTGGCCTTCAAGGCTAAACCGCAACCCCAATGTGGACCCTAAACCCTAAACCCTAAACCTTGCTGAGAGGTAGGCACCCTCAAGGAGGCCCTAATTAAGCCCAGCCCTCGCCGCACCAGAAAGAGGCTATTGCAACTCTTTGTGGCTTTGCGGGGCCGTTGATCGTGCGTGTGGCACCACAGGCTTGGATTGAGTTGTCATACCCTACACCCTGAACCCTAAACCCTAAACCCTAAACCCCAGACGCACTTTGGACTGTGCACTCTGCTCTTGGCTTGTCCTGCAACTGAAAAGCTCGCATCGCTCAACCCGGGTGTAGGCTTTGGGATTCAGGCTTTAGGGTTGGAGGATGTTTCACCTAATTTCTGATTTGTGATTCTATTTGTCTGTTTGTCTTTTTCAGCACCTGTCGTGCAAATGCTACAGGAGGTAGAATTTTGCGGTGTATGCCTAAACTCTTAGCCTCGATCCCATGGTGTTCGCTGGAACTTCAATCTACTCGCAACTTGGAGCGAAGAAACGTCGAGCGCAATGTGAGTAAGAACACTAGCAGTTGCGTTTGCCGTCGTCGTCGTCGGTGTGCCAGTCGCGGCAGCAACTCAGCAGTAGTATTCGCTGTTTCTACTACTACGTTTTGCTGCTACTCCTGCTACAACGACGTTTTCTTGTTTCACTACTTGCTAAAGCTACCACTGCCACCGCCACTATCACTACTTGCACACTGAAACTACATTTCCCACTTCCGTCAGCTCTGCTGCCACGCACTACCACTGCCACTGGCACTACCACCGCCACCGCTACCTGTACCACTGCCACTACCACTAGCACGACCACCGCCACCACGACGACGACCACGATTATTACTGCTACTACTATGTTTACGACGACGACTACAGCCACTACTGTTTCTGCTCTAGTGCTGTTGCTACTGCCGTTGCGATTATTGCTGCTACTGCTACTGCTGCTGCTACTACTCCTGCTGCTACTAGTGCTGCTGCTGCTACTGCTACTGCGACTACCACCACGGCTACTTTCACCGCTACGACTACGACTACGACTGCGGCGAGGACTACGACTACGTCTACGACTTGTACCACTACCAACCCGACTGCTCTGATTACTTCGACTTCGACTACTTTCAGTATTACTATTATGCTCGGAAATCTTGACCGACCCCTAAACCCAAACAATACTGTTATTGTGACTGTTGCGTTGATAAATCCTATCCGCACAACCCTAAACCACAAATCCCGAACATGATCGATGTGTGTACAAACCCGAACCCCAAAACCTTGAACCCCAAACCCCAAACACTATTATCATAATTATTTCTATTATTGTTCTTATTATTGTTATTATTATGATTGTTATTACGGATATGTGTATAAATCCTAGCCCCAGAACCCCAAGTCCTAAAAACCTTCAGCCTTGAACTGCCAGAGTCGCCTCCCGTAAACCCCTAAGCCCTTTGGGTTTAGGGTTTAGGGTCTAGGGTTTAGGGTTTAGGGTCCTTAAGCCCTTAAGCCCCTTAAATCCTTAAACTCTTAAACCCTGAATCCTCAACCCCTAAACCCAAAACACTAAACCCCTAAACCCCTAAACCCCTCCTAAAACCTCAAACCCTAAACCCCTCAACCCTTAAACTCTTAAACCCTGAATCCTAAACCCTTAAACCCTAAACCCCTCAACCCTTAAACTCTTAAACCCACCCCCTAAACCCCTAAACCTTAAACCTTAAACCCCTAAACCCCTCAACCCTTAAACTCTTAAACCCTAAACCCTTAAACCCTAAACAAATAACCCCTAAACCCCCTGTTGGAGGCCTCTTTGATGATGGCACTAGCCGGCCTCGGCTTTACGTGGCTGGGCCTCGCACAGATCATCGAGGTCTTCAAAGCAGGCACCCCAAAAGTGGTTTAGGGTCTAGAGTTTAGGGGTTTAGGGTTTAGGGTTTAGGGGTTTAGGGTTTAGAGTTGATCGTGGAGCTAAAGGTGTTCCTGTTGGAAATCATTCTTCTATTGATATGTTGCCCTTACTATTTATTCCTTCTTAGTTTTTGGGCGTTTAAGGTTTAGAGTTTTAGGTGTGAGTGGTTCTTCGGGGCCCTAAACTCTAAACACGAAGCCCTAAACCCGAAGCCCTAAACCCTAAACCCCAAACCCGAAGCCTTAAACCCTAAACCCTAATCCCTAAACCCTAAACCCTGCACTCCTAGACCCTAAACCCTAAACCCGAAGCCCTAAACCCTAAAGCCTAAGCCCTAAACCCTAAACCCTGAAAGGTACGGGGTCGGGCTCGTTCGATCCGGGATCTCATGTCGCCGGTAACCTCGCCTCCGACTGCTCTTGCTGTAGGGTAAGCCGTTTGAGGTTTAGGGTTTAGGACTTTAGGGTCTAGGAGTTCAGGGGTTGGGGTGTAGGGTTTTAGGGTCTAGGAGCTTATAGAAAGTCATAAGGGTTTGGGTGCCAAAGTTTTGACCGAAACGTTTTGACCGAAACTTTTTGACCGAAGCGTTTTGGTTTTTGGAACCTGATTTTGAATTTGCGACCAGGCTGGACTGGGCTGGGCTGGTCTGGGGCTGGGCTGCGGGCTGGGTGGGCTGCTGGGCCTCGGTGCAGGGCCGGCGCGGGCTGGGCTGGGCTGGGGGCTGGCCTGGCTGGCTTGTGGGGCGGTTTGCGCAGAGCCATTGATGAATCATGCTTTGGAACCTGATCTTGAATTTGGGGCTTGGAGCCTGGGCTGGGTGGGCTGGGCTGCGTGCTGGGCCATCGTGGGTGGGTTGATTTGCTTAACCCTGAAGCTGAAATTGGTTAATTTTTATTAGAACATAGATAGGTTGTGTCCCTACCGAAAAAAGTTTCCGGAAGGCCAGCAGCAACAAGCAATTTCTATTTATTTTTGTCGCGAGGGTTTAGGGTTTGGGGTTTTGGGTTTAGGGTCTAGGAGTGCAGGGTTGGGGTTTAGGGTCCAGGGTTTAGGAGTGCAGGGTTTCGGGTTTGGGGTTTAGGGTTTAGGAGTTTAGG